TGCTTGAAGCGCGTCCACCATAGACTTTGTATGTAAACCTGCTGCTGCTGACGCTGAAATCGCGTTCGGTGTGAACGCACCATTAGCCTTCAGCTTCATTCCTGCCCTTACCCCGGCCTATGTCCTGTCACCTAGCAGCCATGATGATGCTAAACAGAAGCAAAAATTGATCAAGATAACAATATTATTAATATTATAAAATAACAAAATTATCTCAAACGCAACTAACGTTTATACCACCAGATTCTTTTTGTGATTATATTCCTTTCTCTTGCTTCGTCCACCATTACAAGCAAAATAAATAAATAAATAAATAAATAAATAAATAAATAAATAAATAAATAAATAAATAAATCTGTCAGCATGCAGTGCATCATGGGATAGGGTGGGCAGAAAAGGATCCACCAGACCCATCCCTCAAACCGGGGTTAAAGGAGGATGCATTTATGGAGGATTCATTGAATTTGGACAGCGGGCATGGAGCAGTGACGTAAGTGGCCGACAAATTCGGCCTTCGGAGGATGCAGACCCTGAATCTGGACACAGCCAAGGAATTGTTTGTGGAAGGCATTGAAAGGAACTGTGGAGTTCAAACCACTCTGAGAGTGAGTGTGACTTTGTGCCAAAAATCCTGACTTGCTATACAGGGATTGGATCTCCTAAAAATATATTCTATCCTAAATAAATAGATATAGATACCCCCAGTGCCTCCACAGAATGCTTTGGGGAATAGAGTCATAAGTCTAGAGTGACAAAATATATGTAGACTGATGCATCATAGTCCCATGAACACCTTAGTAAMCCTGCACAGGTCTGATCTGGTCAAGATCTGGTCCATTGTTCCACCACTGGTACAAAGGCTACACATACTGAATCAGTCAGAGCCTCCCTTCCAACACCCTGCAGTAAATGGATTTTAGCCAACACATAAAATGGCTATTACTTAGTTTTACAGGTATTGAGATATTGTGATAGTAATTGAGTAAATTTTAACACATCCTCTGAGAGGTAACATCTCAGAGGACAAGATTTTACATGAGATTGAGCATATCATCATTTACAAGGATTGACCAAAAACTTCATTACCTCTCAGCACAAGATGATCCTAAAATTCTGGCATGAAAGGCAGTGGGTGCATTTCTTCAAGTTCTTTAATAAACATTAATGGATTTAAGCTTTCCTGCAGTTTATGTGTGGCCTAAAAGACTACATGTATGTTACCTCCTGGCCAATGGCATCAGATGTCAGCTGGTTGTGGTGCAAGAAGAGCCACACCAGGTTGGTTGCATTAACCAGGGCTGAGTCAGGCAGAGCTGTGATGGCGTTGTTTTGGAGGTACAGGTACTTGATGCGGGAGGGGATGGAGGGCATAGCTGTTAGGCCCCTCCCATCACAGTACATGGCTATGGGGAAGGTGGGGGGACAGTCACACTCATCAGGGCAGGTCACTCCTGTGGCAGCTGCCTGCAGGGAGCCAAGGTATTGTTCCTGGTAGTAGTGCCGATGAAACAGCCAGCCTAAAGGGTCCTGTCCATTTGAGAGGGGAAGCAGGGCACACAAAAGGAGCACAGCCTCCAGACGTGGATTCATTTTCACACAGTTCTTCTCTGGTGTCTGAAAAAAAATCAGTATTTAGGTAAAAAGAGAAAAAACTGTTCAATTCACTGACAGAGAATATTTTCAAACAATCACAGGTTTGAGTAATTGATAAAAGTAATATTTATGATGTGTTTCTCTGAGGATTTGAGGATTTTCTTCTGAGATCATGTTATTTTTCATAATGCCCTGATACATCTCAATAATAAAGGTAGAAAAATCTACAGGACATTTTGAACCATTTTAGCTCAAACTAGTCCAGGTGTTTGAGCAAACAGCAAGAAAGAAGACGGACTACAAGAACCACCTGAGATCTGACCTCCATTGCAGAGTGGCATCTTTGTAAGAGCCTGTAAATTATATCTTCTGTCGGCGGGCACTGGGCAAGCACGATCCTCCAGAGAGCACAGACCCAGCTACTGAACGAATGAGGAAGACAAACCAACTTCACTGCTGATTGAAGCTTCAGAAGCCAAAGAACACATCTGACAAAAATTAACAACACATCTAGATCAGACCACATTCCAGCAAGTAATGGATTTTACAGAAAAGGTATGCTTATCTCAACAAATCAAGTCCAAGATCCAAATCAACAGAAGTATACCTTACTGGTAACCCGTCAATCCCTTCGCAATCCCAACAACTCACAGAATGATGGAAAACACATCGAAACACAAGCACATGCCAGAGATAATTTGTCTGACAGACAGCTCACCTAGCCAGGGACTGAGATTCTTAACAGGGGACAGAATTTTGCAGTGGCTCTAAGAATTCCTCTGGTCGAGATGGTCACAGCCACAGAGTCAGCCATACGCAATGACAAAATACCAGAATTTGAAGCAGAACAACTTAGGAACAAAGTTTCTGCTTGCTTCACCAATGCCAAATCACCACCTTCTAACATCAGCAGAGAAGAGAGATGATCTCACCACCCTCAGCAAGGACAAGAACATCATCATCCTCCCAGCAGACAAAGGAAGGTGCACAGTGATTATGAACCAGAAACACTACCATGAGAAGGTTATGACACTCCTCAGTGACCTAACTTCATATGAACTGCTGGAAATAAAACCAGAAAGTGGTTATGAGAAGAAGTTGATAAAGTGCCTGAACAATTTAGAGAAGGAAATAGCTTTCGACCACATTCTGTACCACAGACTGTACCCAGGTGAGACCACTCCTAGTCTGCATGGTTTACTCAAAATTCAGGATGTACCGGTAAGACCTATTGTTAGCATGATCAACTCTGTCACTTAAAATGTTTCCAAATATCTAGTGTCAGTACTTGGTCCATTAGTTGGCATTTCAGATCACCACATACAGAACACCATGGACTTTGTGAACAAGGTGAGGGATGTCATCATGGAGACGGATGAAACTATGGTCTCTTTTGATGTCACATCACTCTTTACATGCATTMCTGTTGATAAGGCGGTGGAGGTGGTCTGTGTAAGATTAAAATCAGACACCACTCTCAGCAGCAGAACCACTCTTTCCACAGAACAACTGTGTCAACTTCTGAAACTGTGCCTGGAGTCAACCTGTTTCACATATGGGGGGCAATGTTATAGGCAGAAACATGGGTGTGCTATGGGCTCCCCAGTTTCTCCTATTGTTGCAAACCTGTACATGGAGGAGGTGGAAAAGAGAGCTTTGATGTCCTTTTAAGTGACACCGCTGAGCCATTGGTTCAGGTATGTTGATGACACCTGGGTTAAAATTAAATCCCAGGAAGTCCAACATTTCACTGATCACATCAACTCTGTGGATAAATATATAAAGTTCAAGATGTAGAAAATGTCAGGTTGGTTTTCTGGACTAGGACATCTCAGTCTTTGATGGAGGATGGTTGTAAATGGACGTTATCACAAACCCACCCATACAGACCAGTATTTGCGTTTTGACCCCTTCACCCACTGAAACACAAGTGGAGTCATCACTCTGTACCACAGAGCAGACAGAGACTCCATAAACCCAGGAGCCAGGGAGAAGGAGAAGTCACAAACAACACAGGCCCTGGAACAGCTGGGTTATCCTAACTGGACTTTCTTGAATGCAGACAAACAAACAAACAAACAAACAAACAAACAAACAAACAAACAAACAAACAAACAAACAAACAAACAAACAGGATTCCAGCAAGGTATACTGTAAATGAAAACCCCAAACCCAGACCCAGACCAGTGGCTATCCTGTCTGTTATGAGAGTTTCAGAGAAACTGAGACATTTATTCTAACATGATGTCCCAGTGGCTTTTAAACCCCAAAACACATAAAGACAAAGACTGGTTCACACATAAGAACCGGTCTCCAGGCACAAACAGAGTAATGTTGTGTATACTGTTAAGTGCCAGGAGGACTGTGACATCAGGGAAACAAAGCAGCCACTGTTCAAAAAAGTATGAGCCAACACAGAAGAGCAACATAATCAGACCAGGACTCTGCAGTTTACTCTCATCTACAGACCAGCGGTCACTCTTTCAGGGATGAAGATGTTCTCATCCTTGATAGAGAGGAATGCAATTTGAGAGGAGTAAAGGAAGCTGTTTTTGTCAAGTGAAACTGTCCATTGTTCAGCAGAGGTATATGTCTTCGTGTCTAGTTGTTCCCTTCTTACAATGCAGTTACTGACCTCTGCCCTAACAGTAGTTAGGCTGATGGTCCTCTTTTGCATGTGAACACCAGTTTTGATTGTTGTCCTTAACCTGTTAGTCCACCACGTGGAAGTACTGCTTTACTGTACTGAGTTTACCTCTAAGTCCTCAGAAGGAAAAGGTCTCTTGGAGAAGAGACAGAATGTTTTTTCAACAAAGAAAATTTTTTTAGATTATTTTTCAGAAGCTCTCCTGTTGGGATTAAATGAAGAGTCAAGATTCAGACTTCGTCAGGCACATTCCAAGCTTCCCAGGGAGGCTGGATGGAGAAAAAAGAAAAAAAGAAAACACTTGGCCCTGAACTTCGATTTTTGTCTTACAAACTTTGCTCCAAGTAAGTGTGAAAGTATCAACATTTTTTTTTATTACAGGTAACTATTTAATCTAATAATTTTGCTAATTTATCCAGATGCAGTMATTTATATATATGTACACAGTATATATATTTCCAGAATAACAAACGAACTGATTTTGTTCACTTATATTATATTATCACTTATTATATTATATATTATTTTATATATTATTTGTTTATTACATATATATATATTAATTATTTCATATATGTTATTTTATATTTCTTATAAAACATTAAAACATTTTCTCAAGCTGAAACCAAAATTAGGTCATGGTTTGTTTATAGGTATGTTCATGTATGTGTTCAGCTAAGTGTTGAATAATTTGTGTTATACTGAATTTTGTTCTGTAAAACAAACAGCAACTATTTATCTTCTTAAAAAAACTCATGAAAAAGCAGATACACACACACACCCTCTTACCTGATCAGACAGACGGGCCTTGCTTGTCCTCGTCCCTGCTCTTTCAGGAATGAAGGGGGGACTCTGACAAACATTTGGTAAAAAATTATCCCCCCTCCCTGCTCTCCTCCTCATCATGCCAGCCCTGAGCCCTCACTCCACCCCTCTGTCTGTTTTGCATCTGTTTGGACCCTCCAGCCCCTCATCCAAACGCCTGCTCACCCGCCCCACTGTTGTGTTCATTTCGGCGTGGCTCGCTGTGACCCCCACATGTGAATGATGTGAGATGCAGTGAGTGTGAAGAATAGTTCCTGCCTGTGTGCCCCTCACTTCTCCCCMCTCTCTCTGAACCTGCTGTTCTCCAACACTGGACCCATCAGATGGTTTTAGCTTGTTTTTTGTGGGGGAACAGGTCATTGTTGGGACATCTTAGAAGAAAGTCAGAAACACTGGTGGGACATTTGAGTCCAAACACGACACAACAGTGTGTGAGTGTACTAGCATTTGTTACCTTGTAAAGCCAAGTTTTCCAAAACAAACTACCTTGTGAGGACCCACTGCTCCTTATGGGCCCCAACGCCTCATAAGGATGTTTAAATGCTGTTTTTGGGTGAGGGTTAGTGTTCAGGACTAAAGTATGAATTGAGTTTAGGTTAGGGTTAGTTATGTTTAGGAAAAATGAATGGAAAGTCCCTTTGAAGATAGAAAAACATAGTGTGTGTGTGTGTGGTGGGGGTGTTGTTTCTGGTGACATTTGGGGACAATTTTAAGACAAAATGCCTACATTTGGGGACAACTGGTGCATTTAGGAACAAAAGTCGAGTCCCTGTTTGGTTTAAATACCATTGGTGGGTTGGGGGTTGGGTTTAGGACCAAGGTGTGAATTGAGTTTAGGTTAGTTTTAGGGTCAGGAAGGTACCTGTGAGGTTAGCCTTAGGGTTTGTGGTCAGGGTTAGGCTGTGAAAAATAATGGAAGTCAATGCCAGGTCCTCAAAAAGATAGCTGTACCATATTGTGTGTGTGTGTCAGAGCAACCTGCTGAGCCCAACATAAAAATAGCTTTTTAACTTCACAATAATTTAGATGAATCTGACTTTTAGAGACAAAAAAATGAACTTCCAGAAATATTATGACACAAAAGCTTGTCATCACTGAACCCTCAGTGTGCACTTAAAATGTTTTTACAGAATAAAGACAAAAGTATACAAAAAGAGAACTGAACAAGAAAGTAAATAAATGCCAGTAGAAATAAGAAAAAAAAAAAACTTCTACATTTGCAGATATTAGATTTTTGCTGATGAAAATGGAGAGGAAARTACAATGTTTTTCACATATTTAATCTTCTTTCTCTTTGGGCAAACAGAACAAAGCTACAACACAAAACAGGTGAACACCTTCAATGAAAAAACATTAAATGACTTCATTTGTAAAAAAACAAATGCATCTTTCTAAAGCTGCTTCTTCTAAACCTGATTTGCATTGCATCAGACTTTTGTTTACATTTTTGGAGGATAGACTAAATCCCTGCATGCAGATGCTAATGGTGTGCAGATTGTAATTTTCTAAAGGAAACTCRGCAAACCAAACTGGAAACCAAAGATTAGAAGAATCTGAACAAACAATGCAATTTAAATTAAAGCCACATCCCAGGCATTTATTGGTTAAACGACACAAACACTTCTCTTGTTCTTCTGCGGACAGTTTGTTGGAGAAAAAAATATTTAAAGCACCTGCTTTTTATTGAACGTAATGTGAATATTGTGACGTATTGAGCAGATTTTATTTCAATCCCCACATTTTTTATGTTTTTATTTTAAGAGTATGTTTATTATATTTTTGATTGTGTTTAATAGAGTTTACCTCTCCTAATTTGTGATCAGGTCTTTTTTAATTAGGAACTAGTTTTCAATCAACCAACCTGACTTAATAAAGGTTGAGTGAATAAATAAATATGAATTTTTTAAAAATTGAAAAAATTATGCTCTAGCAGAAGATTGGCCAGAATTCAATAAATGATTGTSTGAAAAATTAACAAGCTACTATAAAACAAAACGTTTTTATTTTATTTTATACATTACCTTTTCCGTTTCTGCGCTCGTTTTATTCTTTTTGCAGACATGTTTGATGAGTTGTAGTAACACCGTTCAGGGTCTTCTTTATGTATCAAACTGTAATTTATGTGGGGTACTTTAAAGCTTTGAAGCAGGATGAATCCAAACTTTTCTCCTCAACAATCAAACATCTTGTTGAGTTAAACGGAAACACGTGGGACCATCCTCTCTGTCTGCTCTGAATGTGGGCCTCTTCCTGCCTCTGAATCTGCTTTAAACTGCACTGAGCTCCATCTGGAGCAATGGTTTTACGCTCGCTTTTATCTTTAATTCTGCGTCAGAAAGTCACAGGTCTTTAAATCTGTTTTGTCTCTTTATGTCTCTCTGCAATCCCTTCTCTCAGGATGATCTCTTACCTGTATGTCACAAGGGAAAAGGCTTGTTGGTGCAAAGTTTACCAGGAAACTGAGAAAGACAGAAATGTCACTTTTAAACACTTGTTTTCTTTTAAAGCACAGAACATGCATTTTATCAGGAAGTCTGTGCCTGAGAGTTTTATTAAATGGCTCAGTGACAACTGGAAAACTTCCTTCCTTTTCAGGGATTATGGTGAGCAAACTGCCTTCTCAGCTCCTCTCATGCACAACTCAGCAACTGGAAGGTTTGACAATATATATATAT